TTATGGAGTTGGGAGAGCTGATGGGAGCTGGGTGTGCACAGGGGTAGATCCAAGGGGGATGCATCTTCCTTTCCTCTCCTCCCCACCTTTGATTTTTGTTTTACCCAAAGTTTATAACAACTGCGCCTGGTAGTGGCAGTGGCATTTCTAGCCAGGCAGTGCTTAGGGAGTCAGCTGACTTCACGACTCATGGTAATCTACCTGATCCCTTCTAAATTTTTCATTCCACAGGTGTTAAGGATTGTCTGCCCCTTTTAAGGGTCTTCATATTGCACCAGTCAAACTATCACTTGTTTTGCAATTCTACTGTCCATTACCTGCTTCTAGTAACAAAAGTCCTATTTCACAGCCCTGCAGATTGTTTTCAACTTATTCCAATGAAGTTATAATTGTTTTTGCTTCAATCTTAAAATGAATAATACATCCTTAGGCCCCAAGTACATTGAAAATGAGCTAGAAGTTTTACTAATCGGAGAAAAATGTGTTTTCTATGTGATGATGCACCTCACCGTCTGCACCCCACATTTCAAAATTCTAGATCTGCCCATGGGTTTATATAAGCCATACCCATATCATCTAGATCAGACCTCTAATTTCTATAGAAATGCTTCCTGAACCTGAATGATTCACCACCATTCAATTGCATTAGCAGTATCACCCTGTCACTGCGAGCATCTGCTGAATTGTGATTGGAGATCTAAAAGCCGTTTAAGGTGAGTGACTGAGCTATATTGGTCTCCTCCCATAACATTATTTTGCAGAAGCAGTAAACATACAACAGGAGAAGCATCAAGAAAAGAGAGAAAACACGTGGCCAAGTCATTCCAATTCTAGCTTCACTCCAGCACCACTATACCAGAAAAAGATTCATGATGCAAAACCCAACCCAAGCTGGAGTAGAGACCCAAGCAGGAGAACTAAAGCTTACTTAGCAGATCCATTTTCAGAATAGATGACAAAGTGATACTACTCATAGTTCTACAATAAAGGAACAAAGGAGACTAGGGACTTCTGACACCACCAGAAGATTTAGGAGACATCTACAACTCATCAATATATTTTAATGTGGGTGGCTATTGGGACTGGTGACATCTGAGACCATGGAATAACCATAGTTTGTCAAAGAAAGCTTTACAATAAGCAAGATTGCAAAGGGTGCAAGAAGAAGAATGATAGGTCTGCAATTTTATGGTTACCGTAGGTACATGGCTTAAACATACTTGATATGGTCGGAACACAAACTCTGTCTAGAGCTAAACGGGCACTTAGGAGAAATCTCATCTATTGGAAGGCAGTTCTCCCAGAGCTAGGTAATCAGCAAAGAGAACGTGGTGCAGCATTTTTAAGTAATAGATGAAAGAGTGAGAGCGCAGACTGTGAGCCATTAAGGGTTTACTAAAGCAGATGTTAGTTTGACTCTCATGTAAAAAGCTAAGTGTTGGTTCAGTAAGTCAGGAAACATTTGTTGTTTCATTTTAGCTTTTTTAAAAACCTAATGCTTTATTCCAATAGACCACTGTAGTGCTGCCTTATTACTAACATGTTGTGGTGAGTTTACTGGAGGCTGAGAGGACTAATAGCATTGTGGAGGAGCTTGGTGGTCAATTCTCCCATTTCACATTTGCTCCCTAGAAAGAATCCTGGCAAGTTGAAAATGTATTTTCTACACATCTGAAGGGCTTGTGCTGACTTCTGCTTTAAGGTGGCAGCAAGTATTGCATATTGGCAATTTGTAATTGCTTGTTGATACCCTAAAGCTTCCAGGAACTGGTAGAGTCACTTTTCAAAAACAGGCTAAAAGTGATGGTGAAAAGCAATGACTGCAACATTCAGTATGCAAATATTTTTGTTGTGAACTATGTGCTGCTTAGGATTCATGTAAGGAAAAGGGGAAAAAAGAAGCAGCAGAGAGGAAAGAAAAAGACATGAAAGAGGGATGTCATCTGAGGTGTTTCCCAAGACATAAGATGAAAAGATGAAGGAAAAATAATATGGAAGGAGGAAACTGAAAAGAAAAAAAAGAGAGAGAGAAGACAACACTAGACAGGCCTAATGCTAGTCCTCACACTACGGCTGAATATTAACCTGATCTCCTGTAACTATGCTAGTGGTTCTCAACCTTTTTAGACTCAAGTTGTCCCTTGGGTAGTGCCAGCTCTTAGCTTTCACTCCTTTTTTGACTATGGAAAAATAATATGGCAATTTTTCTATTGCAAAGGACTCAGAAAGACCACAAGATGACAGAATGTTTCTCACTATGGATTCCTATTTGATATCTCCGGGTTTACCTTGCGAGTAGGTTTTTACATTCCTAACAGTGCTAATATTGCATAGCAACCTGCAGCATCCTTAAAAGGATCCCACAGAACTCTGGCCAAGAGTCACTGAGCTCAGGAACCACCAGTCTCATTCTCTGCATTTTCTACATTCCTTTATCTTGCTTACTGATATGGCCCTCTTTGCTATAGTATCATGGTGCTTTGACACCTTTAATACGTGGGTGTTTTGAAGATAAATGTAAGCTAAGGAAGTACTATCATCTCCATTATATTTTATATAGGGTACATCTACAGGTGATATTAGAATGAAGCAATGAACTCTAGTGTGTATTGCGCCAGAGTTTATTGCTCCCAGGTGCCCTGTTTACATATGTGCCTGGAACCCAGCACGTTGAGCCAGGTCGGAGCAGCCCCAGCTGGCAGGGGGCCCAACATGCTGTGGAGGGGCTGGCTGGGGCGCGAAGGTGCTCCAGTGCGGGGCTAGTCGACAGGCAGCCCCTGCACTGAAGCACTCTCATGACTCAGCCAGCCCTGGCAGCATCTACACATGTATTGCTGTGCACTAAAGAAAGCCACCAAAGGTTAGTACTTGTAAATACAAGTACTAACCTACAGCAGAGTTAATTACTTTCCTGAGGCCTAATAGGGCCACTCATGTAAACACTGAGACTTTACTGCAGACCTAATTAGGCAGCTCCTCAGTAGACATCTCGTATAGATGCACCCATAGGGAGCCAAGACACAGAGAGACTGAAGTTATGCTTTAGGCACTACTTTAAGACTTGCCACAAAAAGCTATATGCATGGTTGCTCTTTAATTGGAAGTAGTATACACATGTTAGTACAGTGGTGCATGCAGGCAAATTGGATGGGCTTCTCTTCTTGCACGTTCATGTGAGACATACTCTCAATGACTTGTCCAGGGTTGGGGCTGCAGTGCAGGGACCTGACTCCAGTTCTCTCTCCAGCACCCCAGCAGTAGGCAATGCTTCCCCATCCTTTTGGTCTGATAGCAAGATTTTTTTTTTCTTTACCCGTATATCTCTATCAAACACTGCACTGTCTTGTGAAACTTCTGACCTGCTGAACAAAACCTGAGCTGCCCCATAATGATAAAGAAATACACTGGAACCTCCTGTGCATTTAGTGGCTTTGGTATTTTGCAAAAATATAACTCCTCACATTTGCACTGAAATCTAGTTAATTTATTGCATAACACCATTTGTACAAGGTACCTGTGCCTGGTAGGTAATTAGTGGAAATCATTAATTTACTAACGTGTAAATTGAAAAAGATTTTCTTACTAAATGAATCAATTAAAATGTATATTTTATACACAACTATCTTAATTTACTACATAGCCAATGCTTTATCAAAATTTAACTTTTTTTAACCTATATCTCACTGACATACTTCTAGCTGTTCATCAGTAAGCAGCAAAGAAAGTGAAATCTGGTTTGTCCAGTTCAAGATATCAGTGGAATTTCAAGTACAGTGTGGACATAATTACATTTCCCATATTCCAGTATAGCCAGGGGAGCAGTTTTTATCACTTTCACTCTTGCACAATTTTTACTGGACAAAAATACTTCCATATTATTTTAATATGCCTCTCTATAGCACAGTGTCCATCACCCCATATGGAAGAATTGGCTCAGCTGGAACTCAGAGAAAAAGATGTCACCTACTGAAAAACCAGTATCATTTTCCGCAGGCTCAATTAAGCAGTAATATGATGCTAGGTAATCCTCAGCTTTAAAAAAGGCTCTTACCTAAGGTACTGTATTACCTGTTGACATTTCTCCCATCTCTAAATACTGACTTAACTCTGCCACAAGAAACCCCCCCCAATGTTTTTAAGGCTTTTTAACCATTTCCATTATATCTATATCTCTGCCAACCTACACAGCTGGACTGAGGACACTCTGAAGTACAGCTCTATTTGTAATTGGGAGCTCAGTCTGTTCCTGGTTTCAGTTTGGTTCCATTGGTTACTTGATAAAAAATAGTGGGCCGTTTCTGTCTGTTTTTGTGACAGCACTCAACAAATAGTGTTAGTTACTGCCAGTGGAGTGATGCACCAGAAAAAAAATACAGCAAATGTGCTGTTTTTATGTGGATTCACAAAGGTAGCCTCGTACATAAAACAACAGATCCTAGCAGTATAAATACTGGTCATTTCACAGCCTTGCTTTTATTCTAAGCCTAACAGAGAATAGCAGCCAGTGTGTAAGCTTTTCCAATGAAGCCTACTGGGGCTCATTCACAACAGCTGAGCATCTGATAAACGGATCACACTAGCTCTAATTACAAACTGCTGGTATTACTACTTCGGATGGACATGACACTGGATTGTCTAAAGCCAAACCAACCTTATTTCTGTTGAGTGATCACAACTGCTGCTCTTGTACATAAATTGCATTCTAATGTTTGAAAAGCACACTAGGGATTGATTTACAAGGTACAGCACTTGCTGTCACTGCTGCCAAAGTGTTGTACGACACAGTTATGCATTTTACAAGTAAAACTTATGAGAAGAGAACACAACAGTCTAACAGGACAACAGGATACAGATCAAGCCAATAATTTATAGCTCCGATTTCCATTTGTACAGAAAAAAAATCACTGTTTTGCATAATGCACCATAGCTTTCAAAGTACTCAAAGGTAGTAGAGAAAATATCAATTAATACATAATCCCTCCAAGTAAAACTGTACCTACATGGTACAACAGTTTCTGAGCGATTCTTTTGAATGTTCTCTTCCTTCTGTGCAATGGTAGCAACATTGGGTTCAGCTTGATAAGCACAAAGAGCTTCCCACTCTTTTTCCAGACGATTCTTATTCTTCAGATGGTCTTCCATATAGGACTGGAATGAAAAGATGATAACATCAAGCACTACACTTCTCAAATGAGACTGAGCTAAAAGAATATTCTTGGGGTTGAAAGCAGCTATTGAATGTCTTCACTACCTAAAGCAGCACACATGTCTGTTTTACACTCAATATCAAGGTATGATAGAGAAACAAATGCTCATTTTTAAAACAATCATTTACTTGTTAGATTGTAAGCTCTTCAAGGTTGGGTACATGCCTTATCCTATAGACTGGTGCATCCATTTACTAGGTATGACAAACCTAACATTCACAAACATAGCTTAGAGAAGAGTATGGAATTACTGATCACTTATACATACACACACATATATTTTAACTTATTTATTTATTTATTTATTTATTGCCATACTGGATAATAAAATGCTCCTTCTCATCTTAGAGGGGAATGTCCAACCAGATTGTCTGGCGAGGGCCAACTCCTGATGTCTTGTGGAAGGGTAGGGGAAAAAGAGAAAAGGCCCTTAGACATCCTGATCTTCTTCCCTGTAACCTTTTACTGCCCAGAATGCAGAAAGTAATAGGGAGAGAAGAAAGTGAAATACACTCCTCCCATGGCCACTGGGGTACATACAAGAGTTACATTTAGGCTGACCTACCCCAAAACCTAGATGTGTAGGGGTTTACAGAGATTAAATGGCCCTAAAAATGGTGGGCCCAGTCTAAAGTTAGTTTACTTCACAGCTGAGCTAACCTTGGAATTAGCTGGGTTAATCAAATCTAAAATGTGTTAAACCCAGTCCAGTAAATGCCATCATAGCCCAGCCACTTGGCCCTGCCCCTGGCCTGTGCTGTTTGTATCCCCCCGAACCCTGACCAGGCAATTCTTAGCTCCCCTGACTATGCAACCTCCACTCCCCCCATGAGCTGTAATAGCTTTTGAGTTAGAAGAGGCTCTGCACCTGGCAGTAACATTTCACATGGCTTGAACGGAAGCGGACATACAACACAGTACTGCAGCCCAACTGCTGCATCTAAAAAGGTGATGTTAATAAATGTCAATAAATACTGTTACAAATTGTGGCTGGAAACTGGTGCAGGTAAGAAGATCTGTGGAGTGCAAGTCTCTGTAGTGGTGGAGCATCTTACCAGGTGAGGCATGGGGAGGTTGTCAGGTTTTGTAACCTTCAGAAGCAGTGGGAAATGGAATTCAGCAGTAGGCTGAATCTTGAATTTAAGAGAGGATTTTGGCAAAAGTGGGGACATTTCACGTTCCTTGGTTACATGGCATGATCCCCTTAAGCCTGCACCAGCCCCAACTAATACCTAGTAGTTTTGGGAGCCGAGTGGGGAATCAACTTCTTTCAATTTAACAAAATAAGAACCTGTAATTCATTTTTCATATCCATAACATCATTCTTCTGTATGTCCTTGTAAATCCTAATAAGCAATAAACTTTCCCTTCTATAGTATCTTCAAAGAACACACCACAAAAACACTTTGCAAGCATTTATAAATTAAATATCTTCCCTATCTGCTAAGATAACTTGAGGTTAGTTCCTTCATCAGATGTAAAAGCCATAGGAGGAAGTGAGGCACTAAGTGACGTGCTGAAGCTCAGAAAGCAAGTTTGTGGCAAAGCCCTGATGCGAAGCCACACTATTGGTTCCTTCCTTCATTCCTGAAGAGCTCCCTATTCGCAGCAAAAGCTGATCCTTCCTTTGCTTGTTTTTTCAAATCACTTATTAACACAGCTATTTCTTCCACTGCACTTGCCTAGAAACAAGTTTCCTGGAAAGGTTTCACTGAAGTTTAACAAAATAGGAAATAATTTTGAGGAACTAAAAGTGTATTTTACACAACCTATTTTATGTCTTGTACTCACTTCTAGGTGTATTTCAAGGAGGAAAAGCTATCATTCTCTCCACAGGTTTTTCAGAAAGCTGTCAGAAGTTTTAAGCCAGTCTTTTGCCAAATGTAAGCTTTGCTACACTGTTACCACATATTACATACAAAGCATGATGCAAATTTAACAACATTTTTCAGTGCATTTTGTCTTGCACACTGCTTTGTTTTCTAAAAGTGTGAGTATACACGCGTTTGTGGTGGTGCGCGAGTATAGGTATGCATCAGTTTGGGGAAATCAAGCTTAGCAATATTAATAAATTCATAAATGAAGATCTTTGCAGGAAAAGCAGGGATGTAAGGAGTAATGGCATTTAAGAAAAGAGATATTTGGAGACAAAGCAATAGTGCCCTTACCACAAACATAGAGAGTAGATGTATTTCTAGATTACCCAAAATAAGGTGATGAACAGGGCATATCTGCTGCATATTGCTAATAAAAAAACATTATTCCCCTTAAATTAAGGATAGTTGGTAGACATGGGATTTTTTTATATGGAAAAATAAAAGTAACTGAGACCATTTGATACTGTTCAATTTACCAAAAAGCCATGTTTCTTTGGTATAAGAGAGCTTTGTGCAGTATGTACTTGCATATTCCTAAAATAAGATCTTACATAGCTTTCACCATCATCATATCCACATTGCTGCAACTTCACTCATCTTAATTTTTTTTTAAATGTTGTATATTCTTAAGTAGTTTAATTTAACACAGTGAAGGTACTGTGGATTTAAAGTAGCGTATAGTACTTTTAACCTCCCCCCCCCCC